AGAGAGAGAGAGAGAGAGAGAGAGAGAGAGAGAGAGAGAGAGAGAGAGAGAGAGAGAGAGAGAGAGAGAGAGAGAGAGAGACCGCCACCTAGAGATAGGCCGTTGCCCCCCCCGAATGGCATTGTCGTGTGTGCCAGACTGTTTCATTGGACTTTCACTCACTCATCAGCAGGTAGAGAAAGAGAGAGAGAGAGAGAGAGAGGAAGAAGAAGTAGGGTGTCAAGCACACAATAGCGAACACGAGCATGATGTGGTCACACGCAGACGGCGGTGCGCGATGACGCGCGGCCATGCCGAGCGCTGCTGCATGCGGAGACGTGCGGCCATGGCGGGTGTTGCTGTGCGTGATGTCGAGTGGCCATGCCGGGAATTGTTGAGTGGCGCGGGGGCTGGATCTTCAACGAACGTGGTATGCTGGGCGAAGCTGTGAGATGATCGAGGGGGTGAATACTTCACCTCTCTATCTCCTAACATTTGAAAGCATTCGTAGTGCTATCTCGCCGTCTTGTGCCTATCATGAGGAATGCTATGGGCTAGCATGCCGTGTAAGGGGGAGCAAGTTTTTCTTACGAGGCTTGCTTCAGGAAGAATCATTGGTGCTCTTCATCTTGCATATTTTGGTGGAGGTCGGCTCGCAGCAAGAGGGAGGAGACTACAGTGTGTCCCATGAGATGGGAGGACGAATGGAGGGAGATAAGGAAGGAAGTGATATTCAGGTTCTCAACTCGTATCCAATGCGTTTTTTTCGAAGAAATGTTTTGCGTCATCTTATCGGGACAACATCAGTTAGTAAGCGGGCTTCTTCATCAGCATGTCCGTCAGCGACAACGTTATCATCAGCTCGTAAGAGGGCATCTTCATCACCAGCTTCGGTTTTATCATTGTCGTCATCATCATCATCATCATCATCATCATCATCATCATCATCACCATCACCATCGGCGGTTGTCATCATCATCGTTATCATCATCATCATCATCATCATCATTTCATCATCATCATTATCATCATCATTATCATCATTATTATCATCATCATTTCATCATCATCATTATCATCATCAGCATAATCGTCATTAGCATCATCATTAGCATCATCATCATCATCAGCCGCAGCAACAGCATTACTGACATCATCATCATCTTTATGAGCATCTTCATTGGTGCGTCATCATCATCATCATCATCATTATGAGCACCATCATCATTGGTGCGTCATCATCATCATCATCATCATTACGAGCATCATCATTACGAGCATCATCATCATCGGTGCGTCATCATCATCATCATTAACATCAGCATCATCATTATCGTCATCATATACTCATCATTATGATGATGAGTATTATCATCATTATTAGTTTGTTATTATTAGATGTTGTTCTTCAAGGCATCGTTCGCCTTTCGCATCAGCAGGTAAGAGGGTCGTCATTATCTTTATCTTCAGCGTGTTGTTCTTCGTCATCAACAAAATCCAAGCGAACGTCATTTTGGTGAGGGGGAGGGGGAGAGCCCAACTCTGCAGGGGTTTCATTAGGTGGGTGGTGAAACCCTGGAGGGGGCACGGGCAGATTGTGAGGATTACTCTTTTCTGGGGCTGGGCATCAAATCCCAGGGGGGGCAGATTAGGGTAAAGGGATAGACAGGGAAGTGAAGAGAATGGAGGAAGGAAGGGAGAGTAGGGATTTTTTATGAATCATCTCATCAACAAAATCTTCATCATCATCATCATCATCCATGTTATATCATGTTTTCTGGTGTATTGTAATTCTCGGCGGTATCTGGCCTCCTTCCTTAATCGGGATAATGAGATTTTAGAGATGGTTGAATCTGGACCGATATCTACAGAGTTGCTTTGTCTTTGCCCCTGGTTTGGCGATGCCAGAACGACGCTGGTCGGTGCTGGGGCAGTGCCCTGTAACCTGCAATTTGGCAGGAGTGTGAGGCCTTGTAGAGAGATCTAGGGATTTGCCGAGGGAGGAAGGCAATCCAGTGGCGAACCGGGGGGGCTGCCTTGACAACCTATGGGGCCAGGGATAATCTAGGTGGCGAGAACATGTCAGCTATGAAGGAGGGTATTGTCTCTGAGATGTAATGTCCTGGTGCAGGGAGGGCTGGGAAGGTTCGAGGATTAGGAGGCCAGAAGTGTTGTTATAACATAGTTTTTATATCTTCTATATTTTCTATTTACTAATCATCATACTCATCATTATCATAATCATCATCATCATCATCATCATCGCATCATTTGATTCATTAGTATCATCATCTGATTAATGATATATTAAGTTTTTTGGTGTTCTGAAATTTTGACAGCATCTAGCATTCTTCCACATTCGGAATACAGGACTTCAAAGATGATTGAACCTGGACTAATATCTACTGAGTTGCTCTGTTCTGTGCCCTTGGTTTGCCGATGCCAGAACGACGCTGGCCGGAGCTGGGGCGTTGCCCTGTAACCTCCAAATGGCAGGAGTGTGAGGCCTTGAAGAGAGATTTGGGGTTTGATGAGGGTGGAAGGCATTCCAGTGGTGAACCGTGGGGGGCTGCAAGGTGGCGAGAAGAGATCAGCTAAGGTTGACGTTGGGTAGGTTGGTTTTGTCTCTGAGGTACAGTGTTCTGGTGCAGGGAGGGCTAGGAGGCATCACCGAAGAGCTAAGTGTCCAACCCTGGGCTGGCCTCACGCTACTTGCATCGATAGATGAGCAAAATTGAATGAATCTTGCGCTAGGACATGGAAATATGCTTACTACGCGTGTGTGTGTGTGTGTGTGGACCAAGGTGAGTTCATACATGGTTGCTTTTTTTTTCTCTCTCTCTCTTTTGGCTCGTTTTTTTCGATTTTTTTGGTTTTTTTTTGGGGG